GGGAGGGAGGGAGGGGGAGAGAGAGAGAGAGAGAGAGAGAGAGAGAGAGAGAGAGAGAGAGAAACATAGATGTGAGACAGACACATCGATCCGTGGCCTCCTCCAACCAGGGCCAGGGAGAGAACCTGCAACCCAGGTGCATGCCCTTAACCAGGAATCAAGCCCTCAATCTTTCGGTGCATGGGCTGACACTCCAACCACTGAGAAACACCAGCCAGAGCTACAAATAAGATTCTTAAAGAATTGTGCATGATTTAAAAAAATGGCGGCATAAAAACATCAAGAATGGAGTAATGACAGAAACTATGTGATAATCCCATTTTGTTCTAATTTGATTACAACATTCCTCATAATACCCGATGGGGTATTTCAACGTTGAATTTTCATTTTTATCTTGAGCTTGCAGTGGCAACATTTTACTGTTGGCAGTTTGACAGCTATGCTTGACAGGGTCCCAAGACCTTAGTAGGTATCAGCTAGACAGATGGTCAAAGCACAAAGACATTCTGCATCTTATTTTTTATTTTCCTAGAGGTCTTTGAAACCAAACTATGTCATTAGAATGTTAGGCTTATTCAGCACTTTACTACTGAAGTAGTTGAGGAGTTTTAAAAGCTCTCCTTATACTTGCACATCTGAGATAAGAGATGACAAAACATCTATCCACTCCATTAAAGAGATGTATGAAAAGAAAAATGTTGACAAAATGGGGTCCCGATAGTCTGAAAGCAAATCATTTTTTAAAATAATAAATAATCTTTTAAATCAACATTCTTTTTGTTCAGTTAGTAGCGTAGAGGAGTAATATGGATGGTGGTGGTGACATTTAGAATATTGTTACAAATGAAATTGCTTTTCCTTATAAACAAAAGCCTTATTTCCTAAGGCAGCAACATAGATGCCCAATGCTTTGCACTATATTTTTGGAGTCAATAAAATAATCCAATTATTTTGATGAGTAAAAGCATAGGAGGGCAACCTCAAGTGACAATTACATATATCGGCACATGCACTGACGCATAAGGGGATTCATAATGTTAATCATCAGAATCACATAAAATTTAGCAATGATGTCACAAAAATAGCATTTCTCCACAGTGAAGGAATTTAAGAATAACTGGTATGAAAATCACTTACCTAGCTCTTCATTTTCAATGACTTCAAATGTGGCCCAGAGATCACCTGGGGTAGGAATAATATTTTTTAATGCTAACATATCATTAGTTAATTCTTCTGCTTCCATCACAGGAGATATCTGTAAAAGAGGCAAAACCCTTTTAAAATATGTCAGATCCAGACACAGCCTGATGCTAGGATGATAATACTCGCCATGCACATCTTCTGATACCCCAAGTTTCTTCTTTGCATATTTAACCAGCTGCTCTAAGCACATAGAAAAGATAGCCTATTCAGATCTTCTCATAAAATACATTTTAATGTGAGTGCAAGAAGTTATTGCAACTTTGGCCCGGCTGATTTGTCTCAGCGGTTGAGCATCGACCCATGAACCATGAGCATCGACCCATCAATTCTGGGTCAGGGCACAGGCCCGGGATGCAGGCTTGATCCCCAGTAGGGGATATGCAAAAGGCTGATCAATGATTCTCTCTCTCTGTTCTTCTCTCCAAAATCAATAAAAAGAAAACATATAATTTTAAAAAGTTATTACAACATAGACATAATCAGGAAGAATTATTTAGTATATATATATATATATATTTTATTACTTATGTGTCCTCATCCCCTCATTACCTCCCCAACCCCCCACCTATGCCCTCACCCCTCTGTTGTCTGTGTCCATTGGTTAGGCTTATATGCATGTATACAAGTCCTTTGGTTGATCTCTCCCCCTTACCCCCACCCTCCCCTACCTTCCCTCTGACAGGAAGAATTTTTTTTTTCACTGAGTGAGCAGTTAGGTTACTCAGGAGGGAAGACTATACCTAGTCACACATGCAAAGACTGTCACAAGGCAGCAAATCCAATGGCCTCCCAGGAGTAAGACTTTTCACTCGTCAGCTCTATAATCAAGAGTTCACAGTGGCTTGGTTTATTATTCAGCCTGATGCCTAAATTATACACAGTCGACTGCTGTCTGCCATGCCAAAGAGCCCCAGGGTTGTAGTGGTCTGTGGTGTGCCCTGTCCTGCCAAGTGACAGATGGTGGGATACCAAAGCGTGGAGCCAGGATTTCCGGGCACAGGGCAGGGTCTGCAGTGCCAGCCTGGGGCCAGCTCTACAAGACCCAAAGCCTCAGGCCGCCGCACACGCACACCGCCTTCTTCAGGAACTTTGGGGATTTCTGATTTGTTTCTTCCCGTTTTTGTTTATGCTAATCTGAAATTCATACTGGCCAAAAGCAAGCCGGCTTTTCTTCCATGAGAATTTAGTTACAATGTTAAACAAATAAAAGATGTTTTAAGCATTAGAATATTCTAACTGCTCATTTTCAGCAAACTAAGTATTTTAAAATTTCTTAGAAATGTGCTAACTCCCATTTCTCCAGTTCATTATTGATTATAAGCATATTGCACATATATAAACAATATACGTATTTTTCATTACAGGCAACTGCTATGGTCTATCTTTTGGGCTTTGTGGAATCCAGTACTTTCTTTGGAATACATTAATTATACATGAAGTCCACTGTTTTCCACTTAGAAAAGCCCAATACAGTATAAACTTAAAGGCAAAACAAACAAACAAACAAACAAAAAAACACAACAAAAAACAGTATCTGGGGAAAGTAGAGAACTTTAAGCAGTAAAAACATTAGGTTAATTTTTTTAATGATGTTGTTCATCTGAATAGCTTTAATTTTTCTTTCAGTATAGCCTTTTCTTAAAATAATAAATTACTGAGAAACCAAACTTGCAAAATAATCAATAAAACATGTGCCTCAACTCCATTCTTTGTCTCAGGGAAAACCCAGGGCCCCTCTTCAGAACACCTACAATTCCAGGAGGGACACATGGGAAATCGTTTTTCTAAAGAACATACAAGTCAGTGGAATGAACGTCAAGTTTGGAATATGATGATCCAGGTTTGTGTCCTGGACTTAATGCTTATTAATTCCCAGTTTCTATTCTTATAAACTTGGGACATGACCTGCTTGGGTGGAGGTAATGATCAGCTGAGATAAATGCAACTTAAGAGATTTTTGGCAAAGGCTTAAGCATTAAGCAAATGTTAACATTTATTTTTGTATAGTTTTTTTTTGCAGTGTTTTTAAAGAAAATTTGCAAGGTGAAACTGGACAGTCCTTTGTCTAAATACTGTACTTAAAATAACAAAAACTGTGCTCAGTTGTACTACCTTCTATTATGGCTTTCATTATTAAGATAAGATCAAACTGAGCTTACTAAAGAGTTCAGGTGTGGGTGGAATTAAGTCATGGGCTGTGAATACCCACTCTAACATTGGAATTGTGCTGATTAACCTGTATTGGTTCCTCCGGTTCCCTATTACCACCACCTTGTGACAGCATAAGGAATAGGATGTGACCAAAGCCTATGATCATACATCAGCTCCATGATCAAAGGGAGGCTACCAGTGCTACATAGTCAGAACATGTAATTATTAAACATACATAAACAAACAAATATGATACACGTTTAACAAAACTAAAGTCCAGAATATCTAAGTTAATCTTTAACTTTGAAAAAAGATAAGAAGATAAAGCTGAATCTCTCCTGCTACATGGCGGAATGTCTATTCCTTAGACAGAGAATGTATTCCTACTGAGTAGGAATTTGAAATATCATGGTTATTCTTCCCAAGGCAGACTAAGTACTAGTTATGATAGCACAACAAGGATTTTCTTAATTCCTAAAAAAAATGAATAATAGTCTTAGGAAAGAACAGAGTTATCCAATACTCAAGAAAATTGGTAGACTAAAAGCCAAAATATAGGGTACAAGGGTGGGAGAATAATAATAATAACAGTATAACAGTAATAGTTATTAAAACACTTGGAGTGCGGGAAACGAGTTAAGTCGGCTCGCGTGAATTGCGCGTACTCCGCGGGAGCCGTCTTTAACTCGGTTCATATAGATTTGCGGTGGAGTGCGGGAAACGTGTAAACTCGGGCCGATTGTAACTGCGTATTACCAAATATTTGTTTGTAATCCACCCTTTTGGTGGATGGAACAAAACCAAAAGACAGAGCCATCTTATATTTTGGCGGGAAATTCACCCGCACTCCAAGTGTTAAACACTTGTGTGTCGAGCAACTTGCTAAGTGTTCTACATGTATTGGTTTAGTGAGGCCTCATATCAATGCTACAATGTAAATACTGTAATTTTTCCTCACTTTACAGGTGAGAAGATAGAGGCGCAAACAGAATAAGTAACTTGCCTAAAGTTAAGAACCTAAGAAGGAAAGGAGCAAACATGTAAGCTAAGGTTGTTTTCTAGTACCTACAAAAAATCCTAACCTTAACTGAAAGCACGTGAGATGTGCCCTTTCCAAATGACTGGAACATGGAATTCCCAGAAGAAACTGGTTTAAAAAGTCCATCCTGTATCAGTCGTGGTTTGAAATGGACAAGTAACATTGGCTATTAAGAAACAATAAAAAATTCAGAACGTGTAAATTCATTCTAACACCTGCAATTTCCAACAGTGGTCTTTACCTCCATCTCTTGGACTCACCCGGATTATAATACTGCAGTCGGGCTCCTTCCTCTCCACATACACTTCAGTTAACAGATCTCCAGCCTGGGAAACCTGGAAAAGGGCAGATGTGAAGAGAGCAAGTATAAGTCTGTTGCAAGGACACACATACAACACTTATGTCAAAGTCCCAGTCCTATCTCTAAATATTTTATAATAATAAAAGAAGCCAATCCCCAGTAAGAGCATGATGGTACCCATTCACCAGATATGGTGGATTAAGGACAAGGAATGTACAGAAATGTTACAATCAGCAACAAGTTACAGTGAGCCTTTTTTTTCTTACTGAAGAGTTGAGAGTCCTCAAACACCCTTATATTCTTACAGAAATAATGAATCTGGCTAGAATGAAATTATGTTTGCTATGAAAACAGAAAATGTTCAACAAAATAAGAACATAAAATGAGCCATATAGAATTCTGCTCTAAGCTATAGTATGGGTCTAATACTAACAATTAAAAGGGAAAATATGTCCTGCTAAATTTTCAGAGATAATATGTCCAAAAATTGAAATCTGAGAGTAAATTAGGTTAGATTTGTATTAAAACAACAAATAAAAAAAGTATATTTAGAAAGAAAAAAATGGAAGTGAAGTAATAGGGTAGATAATAAAGATACGTTTTTAATTCTCTTTAGCCAAGCATTAGTGGCATTTTGGGTCACTATTATACCTGAGAAGACATTCTAAGTGAAGAAGATACAAGCCAGAATATAAAAAGAATAAGATATCGTCATGGATTGACAATATAATGTGAAAGTTAAAGAACCACACGAATCTCTGAAACATATTTTGAGTAGCTTTTTCCAGAAATTCCCTTAAGTGTATAACCACTTGGAAATAATATCCATCCTCTAATCTTTAATGGAGAAAGGATCATTCTGAAGTTAAATTTGCCTCAGAGTAAAACCTACTGAGTAAATTTGTGGGGAAAACATTAAAAATGTATTTTGGAAACGAGTTCTTAATTATTTTGACACTGTAGGTTTAGAAAAGCTGATTTCCCATTTTTCTTTCTCACTTTTGATGCTGTACAAAAATCCTAGGGAAGAGAAAATACAGGTGACATTTTTACTTTTCATTGTGTTTGCATAAACAACTCTCCAGGAAGGACACATTTTTAAAAATTAAAAGAGCAAACACCACAAACTCATAGAGTGAAGCCAAAAACAGGCCCAGCTAAGAAGGTTGAGCAGGGATAAGACATAGAAACTGTCAGAAAAATACTCCAGAGGAGAGGTGGAGGAAACAGAGAAAAACACAAGCGAATAAGAGATTTTTCCAAACACTGCTACTTTCCTCCCCCAATTATTCTATTCTATAGATAATATTTTATTCTTCTGTCTTATACGGAAGGAGAAACACATTCCAGACTCATTCCCTTATTGCACTATGAATATGGAAGAAGTACTATGAATATAAAAATGCAGGGGGGTCCTCGTGCTTTATGTAAAACAGCACAGATAATGCTGTCAAAGAAGAGCTCTTGAGCTCACACAATCCCTTAGTTCATGAATGAAACTCTTCCCCAACAAGCAAGAACCCAAGAGAACTAGCTAATAATGAGCCAGGTTTTTAGTGTTACCGCTAACTCCCCTGCAGGCTGCGTTAATTACTTTGGGTCAAAAGGGAGGAAAGACTCCTTTAGGAAATCAGTTTCAGAGCCTTGGTACTCAGGGATCTAGGCACTAGAATGAAGGCTTTTCCTCATCTCCTTCATACAGAATGATAGCTCAGGTGGCCTCTCTAATTAGGAGAGGATCGTTCAGTACTGAGGTGGATTTAAGGTTTGACTAATAAGGCAGCATTTGCCTCGTTCTCTGAGTGCATCTAATAAATAGAATATATTAGACCGATTTTTATTATTTACACTGGTACCCTGAATCCTCTACAACAGTGGTTCTCAACCTTGGCTGCACATTAGAATCACCGGGGAATCTTTTTAAAATCCTGATTTCTGGGCCTCATCCTCCGGAAATTCTGTTTCTTTGTTACTAATGTTGTGGCCCCACCCCATAACAAGAAACAGAATTTCCGGAGGATGAGGCCCGGAAATCAGGATTTTAAAAAGATTCCCAGGTGATTCTAATGTGCAGCCAAGGTTGAGAACCACTGCTCTACAACATCCAGTAAAGAGAATTAAAGATCAATTTTAAGCAAGGCCAATGAACAGTCTTCAAATAAGGAGAGAGGCATCCTGGAACAGTGTAGGGCAGCGTGAACACACAAAGCCAATATAACGGGAGTGAGGAAAACGAGAGAAGATCTAGAAACGTCAACTTCAGACATAAATTAGCATATGTTACAGAGATCACATGAAACATTCCCACTGATACAATCATCCAAGAGCAGGCAAAGCAAAAGCATATAAGAAATAATTTATATGTTCAAAATCGGAATGGATAGAATCACTAGGGAATCTGAATTTTCAATTTACTCTAGTATTTTTGGCTTTAAATGCTTCCTGTGAAATCCACTGACATTTTCAATAGTGCTTTTATAAATGAAAACTGATTTTTTTAAAGGATATTCTGATAAGATTAACACTGATTTTTTCCTTTTATATTTTGAAAAATTTACATGAATGAACTTTGGCATTTTGCATCTATGCATCATGCTGCTGAATTACGTAACTATTTTTATGTTGGGTCTCCTTGCCCATTAATTTTACTTTGCTTCAAATAGAAACTTGACAATAAACACAACAAATGTATCTACTTACAATGGAAGTTTTTGGGGTTTTTTTGAAAAATTCTTTTTATTCTCTGGAGATCTAACTATTACTACTCACTTGAGTGTCTTTCCACTTGGTAATAAAGCTATTTTCTATGTCCATTTGTTTGACTTGGTCTTCTTTAACCTGTTTAAAATATAATTTGGGACATTCTAATAAAATACATGGAGTGATGGTACTCATCCTCACATAAGCTTCTTCAGGAATTTAAAGACCAACAAGTAAAAATAAATGAGAATGGCCATCTCAATCCGTGCAGGCCCGCACAGTGAGGGCAGACTTAAAGCCAACCACACACAGCTGCGTAAAGGTCAGAACATTTTATGATGATGCTACTTCAGGCTACAGAACCCATCAATGGAAGCCCCTTTGCTGAGGCAGTTTAATGAGCAAAGGGGCAGATGACTGGTTTGTGGAGTCTATGTAAGTTGAGAGACAAGAATCATTTCTCAAACTAAAATATTTTTTAAGTGCTTTTGAAATTTCCACCATTTAAAGTTGGATTTAACAAACCCATGAAGACAGCCATTTATTTTTTAATCAATGAAACAGTACACATATAAACAATAAAGATAGCATGCAAAAGCCACACACTTTTTCCTAATTCTTTCATTTCTCAGCATCAGAATTATTGCACAGAGTTGCTGTTGATCAAAAACAGTGAACACATATAGGAAGAAATAAAAAGAAGATCAAAGAGAATCCGACAGCTCTGGTGTCCTTTCCTATATAAATTAAGATACAAACGGTTATTTTCCTTTATTAAAATACAGTTTCCTTCCCTTTGCTAAGGAATATTGTGATCAGTTATTATAAGAATGTAAGAACTTTACAAGTAGTAACCTATTATATTAACCCGTTTCATTTCATCTGGTGTACCTATAGCCGTGGAAAACAAGGCATCTTATAGAACACCATTTAATGGAATACTCAAAAAGGATAAATGACAAAACTGAGATGCCAGAAATAATAATGGTGCTAGATCCCGGTATATCCTACAGTTCCAAAGCCTGGGTTTGCTTCCTCTATTTGTATGTCTTTGAACTAAGAAACCACCCCCATACTAACAGTTTTCTAATGAAACATGAAAATATTAACTTCATAAAATAGCAAACTGAAAAGTCAAATAATTAGAACAGAGATGACTTAGTAAAGCCCACAGAGCAATATTTCAGAATTTTCATTTTTTCCAATTCAGTGCACAGTGAAAAGAAAACATGGAAACACTTTCAACTGCAGAATGTAACAGCCTGGCGTTTATTACTGAATTTGTAAATTCATAATTTCACACCTCTGAGTACACATACTTAGTGCATACACACATACTGAGTAGGGAAAAAAAACACATAAAACACTGTACATAAAAACCTGGTAAATAGAAATATGCCAGATGGTAAACAGCTTTAAAAGTTTAAATCAATGTTTAAATCAATGACTATACTTTAAAAAGCTAGCTGTATCTAAAAAATTAAAGATCAAATATAACTAATACTTTGTCTTTATTTTTAAATATTCATAAAGATCTGAAATAAAAACATCCTAAAATAAGTATTTTTGCTTGCAAACAGTAACAAGAAAACTATTTTTATGAGAACAAGATATAAAATATTTACCTCAAATATTTCAACATAATTATTAATTAAGTCCTCGATTACATTCACTTCTTCACTAGTTTGTCCCCTAGTTTGAAACAAACAGGATGAAAAGACCAAGGCCAAATTATGGGCGTTCATGTGATTGATTTCTGAGCATTTCTGAACCCTGTTGAAGAAAAGCATAGCTCATTATGACACACTTCTATTTGAAAGTTTCATAGAACTATAAGTCATAATACTCATTTATCATTTTAACAGATATTGAAGGTCTCAGATACAAAGGGCACAGTGGTAATGTAAAGAAAAAAACAACACAGTTCTTTCTTCCAAGTAGCTAACAGTGTGGTTAAGAACATAAGAAAAAAACTACTGTTCAAGAATATCACTACAAGTTAAAAAGCAGTACTTGAGTGTTGATTTAGAGTATCCAAACAACTCCAGATAATGGGACAACCTGTGGCTAAGGCATGAAGGTATGCTTGCAGAATAGTGTGAAAAGACCCGTGGGCCTGAAGCATAAATGAAAGAGGAAAAACGGGGTGGCAGGTAAATAGGAAACAAGGCAAGAAAGGTGAATCAGGAGGTATATAGTAGAGAGTTCCAAATTCAGTGCTCAGGGCTGGGCTGAATGTCCCAGAAAGTGTATTATTAAGTGAGAAATAGACTTGGCAGCTATGTCTGTATGGTTAGTCAAAATAGGGTATTAGCTCTCAAAAAACAAATACCTAATTTAAAAACACAACTACACTTTTCTTGAATATAATAACCAAGAATGTCTTCTTCTAATGAAGAGAAGTGAATAGGAGTCAAATCTCTCAATCAGTAGACCACCCTTGAGTCCTATAAAGAACATTTAAAGTAGTCACAAATATAAGTTCAAAAAGATGAAGGAAAAAATATATGGTCATCACCATAACAAAAGAACATTACAATGATAAAAACGCCTGAGGTGAGAACACGAAGTCATGCACAGGGAAGTACCTGTTAATGCTCCCTATTTGACACTGGCTGTACATATAGCAGCTGCTTAATAGCCTAATGACATCTGCAAACTTTAAGGACACTACTGTACAAGGAAGACCAACTCCATCAAAAGAATAAGCAAGACTAAGGAAGGTACACCTGCCTGTAAGAACAGAGATTCAGGTACAAGAAGTGAGTAAACATGGCAGCAATACATATGATAATGTAAGAAACAAAAAAAAATGCCAAATGACATAGCAGAGATGGAGCAAGTGCCTTCATCCTATAGGATTTACAAGAGGCACAAAGAATTACAAGTTGATAGAGAAGAATGTAGTAACTGTGGACACCCCTCTCACAACCACTTCTGTACTCTTACCACAGTATGGTGTGACTATCTGGAAAATTACCTGCAAGTCTGCCTCTGTTCCTAGAATTCAGGCATCTTATAGTCGGAGGCTGCTGCTTTAACCACACTACAGTGCACAATAAATATCTTGTGAATGGAATTAAGGAGATGTTAGTCATGGGGAAGTGATCTTTTTTCTAGGGAAAAGATGGAATTAAGTGCTCGATCAACCTGACCCGATCCAAACCGACCTCAAACTTCTGACGACACTATCAGACATCACCACCTTTCTCGAGACTTCCCTCTGCAAAAGCACTCTCCTTTGGTACTCTTCATCTCCCTCTACTTTCTGAAGCTGCCTTCATTTCTGACAAGAGTATGTACAACATAGTATTTTCCTTTATTTCTCAGCTCCCACAGGTTAGCATCCCCGTGTTCCCTACTCCACTTGCTCACTGTCTTCTCACTCAGGCCTTCTCAGCAGAAGCCCAAGGAAACTGTTTCCTGATTAGTTTCTCTGCCTCTACTCTAACCTCTTCCCAACCCATCCCATTGTGGGGGTTATTATCCTAAAGCAGATTTGATCAGTCACTCCTGATCACTTCAAGGAATAAAACCCAACATGTTTTTCCATGATGGACAGGGCCTTTCACAACCTCCTGCCAGACAACTACAAACCATCTTGTCTCCCAGAACACCTATTTCCTAGAAAACACACTTCGCTCATGTCTTAGTATTTCATGCCCAGTTCGTGTCTCTTTAAATCAGAAGTATCTCGGGACCTCAACACACAATGAATGCATCAACACCTCCTCTATAAGCCCATGCCTCATGCTAAAATTCTCTGTAATAAAATCTGTCCTGATGTTGCTGTGCTTCCTTAGGAAACATAAAATGCCCTATAGCACCCCACGAGGTCACTGTGAAGTCCCAGGACTCCTTGGTGCTCAGTTTGGGAATAGCAGATTAGGATTTTATTTGTCATTTATATATTACTACAGGCCTGATGCTTCAGGCAAGGGGCTCGGCCCTTGCCGCCACTGTGGCTGCCTCTGCCTCAGCCCCCCGCTGCCGCAGCTTCATCTGGAAAGTCATCCGGAAGGATGTCCGGTCTCATTAGCATATTACACTTTTATTATTATAGATTATCAAATATTTCTATTCACATGGACTTTGAATAGGCATTGACTTGTACACAATAGAAGGTAAAATGTATGTTAGTTGAAGAAAAGGAGAGCGAGAGGAAAGATGGGAAGGAATTCATTATCTCAAATTCAAATCTGAATTAAGAATGATACGAATAATGATATGTAACTCATTAATAAACTGTAGGAACCTGGTCACTATTAAAATTTTTGAATATAACACAATCTGCCCCAATGTCTCACAGGCACAAAATGGGACTATTAAGAACTATATTTATACGGCCCAGTAAGAAAATTAGTTTTACAGTAACAGAGTTTACATGCATGAGAAGCGGTAGCTGGAAAGGGTGAAGAGACAAAGAATTGTGGAGGATTTCTGAATACAGACTCCAAACGAAGTGCTGTGAGCAGAATTCAGCTTCACAGAAATTCCTTCAAGGGAGTGTTGCGTCCATGCAGGAATATATTCCTTAAGCAATATTTATACTTAGTGAGGTTTTTGTAATTAATTTTCGCTGATAGCAAAACAAACCTTTGGTTTTAACCTGAAAGGTTATTTTCAAACATCCTCTTCCTTCAGGTGTCATTTCTCAAGCTACCATTATACTCCTCCTACCCTCCCAAATGCAGAGGACTACATGCCCTGACATGGAAAATGAGTTTGGCTCTTAAAGTGTCCTCATCTGATCCACAGTCTGACACCAACATATTAGAGGCAGGTTAGATGCAAACTGATGATGAAGAGATAAGAGTTTAGGAAGAGTCCACCATGAGAGGAGGACTCACACACAGAGTCCTGCTAAAGAAGCCTGGTCCCTGGACTTCCTTCTCTTCTCCGACTTCCCTCTTAAATGAGTTTTCAAATTCTTGCTTATGCACTTGAGGATGCTATATATGATAATGTCTAACTCATTTTAAGAAACTCTCTAGTGCTATTTATTTGAAATGCATCTTAATTACAGAAAGAGACACTAAAGTGATAGTTAGTGGGAATTTCACTTTGAAACCATTCTTAAGATCGAGTGAATGATTTGCAGTCACATGTAGAAAGTGAACCACAGTACTTTAAATTCAGAAATAATGACTTATCAAGTGGCAGGTTTAAAATAAATTAGAAAATTCATGAATCCACCCACCTGTAAAGGTGTTCAATTATAGCTGCCAATGTTGCTCGGTTGACCCCTGAAAGAGTACTTATAAATGCTCCATATTTTTTAATTCTTTCCTTGTCATCTTGGGTATCTAGAGGTTAAAAAAAAAATCTTTAGGCCTAAGATAAATTTGCCTTTTAACAGTATTATAAAACAATATTACAATTGCATTTCACTAAGTGATATAAGCACGTTTCAATAAAAATATGCAAACTTCTATAATTCTGGAAAAGGACTTACATAAACATTCCATGGCTATATGCTATACTTCTTATACTTTGTTAATTAAAAATATAGTACTTTCAAAACCCAGGGTTGTATTTTATCTTCTACTTTTTGGACTATTGAACTTCATCTAATAGAAATATACTCAATAACTCAGAGTGGAGTGAAAATTGAAGAGATAAGCAAAAAGTATTTTAACTCTGTGACGGGCTGGTGTCGCTCAGTGGTTGAGCGTCAACCTATGAACCAGGAGGTCATGGTTTGATTCCCTGTTATGGCACCTGCCCGGGTTGCAGGCTCGATCCCTAGTAGGAGATGTGTAGGAGGCAGCCAGTCAATGATTCTCTCTCCCTCTTCCTTCCTCCCTCTCTGATATCAATAAAATATGCATTTTTTCAAAAGAGTTTAACTCTGGCTATGGAAAGATTTCACTATTTGTATGCTAAAATGACATTTCTGTCCTGTTTTTCTCTTGTGAAATCATAAAAATCTTCCCCAAACTAAAATCATCCGAGAGCTATGAACTGTGAATTACCCAGCAGCCCCAGTACTTTCAACTTGTTGGAAAAGGAAAGCAGACAAGAGAAGAATAGGTAACTACGATATTGACTTAGAGCAGGATGGACCCTCTGCCTAAGGCATGGACAGTCTTGGTGAATCGTGGAAAAGAGGACAGGGACGAATTTCTCTCTGCTCTCCCAACCCCAGAAAGTCAAATACTTGGAAAAATTAGACACAGGAACCCCCAAAATTCTCGTCTCAAGAAGATATGTAATGGTGGTTTGGTCTAACCTACTAGCTCACATGGGGGAAATAAAAGACCTTTCTTCAAATAAATAACTTATGCTGACTTCGTAACTCAAGGGGATTGCACTTACATACTCCTGCTCAATTCCCAACTACCTTTAGAAACAAGACTTCTTCATTTTCCATTTAGCCCTGCCTATTCTATTCACAGAGAGCCAGCAGCACATTGATGAATCTTTAAAAGTACATGGTCATCACTAAAGGGCATTAGGATCCTTGGGGAGGTAAGATACCCCATGACATGTTTTTGAAATGCACTCCTATTCAAAACTCACCTAAGAGCTCCTTTGTACCGAGTTGGCCTGCAGAGATCTATGAAAGTAAACATCGTCTTACCTGCGCTGGTAGGTGAATGACTCTCTAAAAGCAAGAGGGGCAAACGCCCGAATTACATTCAGAGATTCTACTAGATTAAGAATTAACTATCATCCCTAGTATAATCAAACATTTACCCTCATGTCATCCAGTTTTTAACTGCAGGAGTAATTGTATTATTCAGTACAAAGTAATTCATATTACTACACTTATAACAAGAAGTCAGGCTAGTATAGTAAATTTTCATAAATCTTATAAAAAGAAAATAAACAATATTTCCAAAACAAAGCTTAAAAAGTAGAAAGCAAAGCTTAAGATAGATTCAGGTCACAGAGAAAGTATAATGAACTACCCAACTAGCCACAGACACCAGACAATTTAATAGCATTCTTAGAAGAATAACGCATAGATCATATAAACAGGTGCGACGTCACTGTAAGGATTTCCTGGCCTTGGCTGCACGGGACCCAACAGAGCTCTCCTACGAGGTCACCCAGAGAGTCTGGTTGAGCCTGGTCAGATCCAGCACAGGGCCCTTCTGAAAGGTCAGGGCCAGAGCTATACTGGATTTAAACAAAAAGGACTTTAAGGCTATTTGACTCCATAGTCAAAGCCTTCTCCAAGTCAATTCTCAAAGACTTCACATCCAAGTGAAAGGTGAATACTTTCTCCTCTGACACACGCTCTCATTTCCCACCTCCCTCCTCCTGACAGACTGACATCAAAGACATCTTTGTCAGGGAATCTGAAACTTCAGCAAAAACATATTTGTCACAGATTTTTGATCACTAATTTTATAATAAAGACACACTGTATGTATTTGTAAGACAGATACTATAAATAATTTCATGGCTATAAATTAGAATAAAATCTTTTTAAAAGAAAAATGAGGATGGCATGTTAACAGGGCTTACAGAGATGTATCATCTAATTCCATATTTTATATCCCAGAGAATTACACAATCAACTCTTCTTGTGATTCGAGTTAAAAACCTATTGATTTGAGAAATATTAGGGAGCAAATAAGAGACTTCTGAATTATGTAAAATTTGGAAAGCTTTATTTTAATAATACTACTCTTCCTGTTGGCACTAGTAAGGGTCATTCTTAGGATAATTTTTCAAATTATGAATGTTTTGTAATATCATTTCAAAATTAATCCCTTCAAATATCATATTTATGTTTTAGAATAAACAAATATTTTCAAAGAAAAATTACCCAAACCTTAATAAAGGAATATATTATCAAATTTTAAAACAGATTAAAGTGCAAGAAATATATTAGTAAATTGTGGTATAATTCAATGTTAAATCTTAAAAATTGAAAAAAAGATTGAAAATCATTTTGAAAGCATTAAATATATGGAAAATGCTTGTGATTTGTTAATAAAATGAAGATTTATATATAAGTTATAGGTGTGGGGCAAAGACGATAAAATAAAATGTAAAATTAGTTCTAGTAGAAAGATGGGATTAAAGACACTATATTTGAAAGTATTGTTATAATGTTCCTATAAAAGGAGTTGTTTTGAATTACTCGATTTAAATACAGATTTACTGAAATCATTTTGGCCCAATTAGTCATTTAATGAACTACTTTTCTAGAGTAATTTCTTAAACAGGTTCTCTTACACTGTAGCAAAGCTTTTTAACTTCATTAAACAGAATCTAGAGAAAATAATAGAGTAAAAAAACTGTCATTATGTACTCCAAAGAGGAAGAATAAATGACACAGAAAAGCCACAAGAGCCATAAAATCTTAGAAAACCAACCTTGTATTGAAACTTTCATTTTAACCTTAATGAGAAATTAATAGCAAACATGGACTTGCTTATAACACTTCCCAACTTCAAGTAGAGTAAGAACTAAGAAACCCACAGAAAACTAAGTATATAAAACATTACTTAGCAATTATTAGTATAAATTTCTTTTTAGGTAAATGTAAACAACTGCTGATATTTACACAATTTTTCTTCTGAGTCATATGTACATTTTCGCCTCCAATTAAAACTTCAGATCATCAAAGAAGAGTTTAAAAACCTAGCTAGCCAGCTAAAAGACAAGCCTTTATGATTATATACATGACGTGTATTACCTAAAGCAGAGATCCAGTATGGATAGAGCTCCTTAGTGAGAAGCGCATCGTCGATGTCGGACAGAAACCTTTTCAGCACGCCCGTCACGTCTTGAAGCTGATGCTTTCCAGCCCTCAATTTAAAGCTTCTGGCATCTTTTTTGAAACTCTCCAGGAGTTCACTTACGTGCAAAGGATCACCACTGTTTTGATAGATATATTTGCACCCTAAACCTTTGTTTAAAAGGAAAAAAGATTATATGGAAAAAAGTCTAAAATCAAAATCCACTTTGATACCTTAAAAATTTGAACATATGTTTGTGCTGGGATGATGAGCAAGAAGAAATCGTTACCTGAGTTGATATAAACATGTCTGAGGGGGGGAAGGCTTGTCCCCCTAATTTTAGTATTTACAGGGTAAACCTGATGAAATAGTCCATCCTTGGCTTTTAACAAGACTCTGGTCAGCCCTTTGCCCAGCTGTTCATAGTATCTTTTTAAATTGTACTTTTATAGCCAGTGCTCTATCTTCGCTTAGTCCCTGGGATACAAACTTGCCTCCCCTTTCCCTGACAAAAGTGAGGCTCCCCCTTATAAATTTCCTCAATCCTCTGCCCATTAATTTGCATATTAATGTCTGCCTGTTCCCACCTTAACCTTCTTCTAGATCAGTGGTTCTCAACCTTCCTAATGCCGCGACCCTTTAATACAGTTCCTCATGTTGTGGTGACCCCCAATTTCATTGTTACAAATTGAACATAATCAAAGCATAGTGATTAATCACAAAACAATATGTAATTATATATGTGTTTTCCGATGGTCTTAGGCGACTCCTGTGAAAGGGTCATTCGACCCCCAAAGGGGTCGCGACCCACAGGTTGAGAACTGCTGTTCTAGATAAAGAGTTTGGTCTTCATTTTTACAAAATTATTGATTCATCAAAGGCCCAATTCCCACTCTATTAGGACAAACTTCATCAAGTATATCAATGACAACCTATTTTCTAGATGCTATTTGGTTTTTATCTAATGAGAATCCCCTGCAGCATTTGACACTCCAAATGAATTGCATTAGAATTATGTTAATCTCATGGCCTTCATGGATTAATGATACCATATTCCCCAGCTCTTCCTCTATGGCTACTCTTCCACCCTTCCATTTGTTTCTGCTCTAGTATTTACTGGTGATTCCGGGAATCCAAACTCAATGCTCTTCACTCCCCACTCCCCACAGAATTATCTGGGTAAACCCACCTAACCTCATTACTTTAACCACTTACATATACTTTTTCACCCAGGTTTTAATTTCTAAGACTCAAACACACACAAATACATTTCAAGAAACATATACCATATACATGCAACACACACTCACATACACACACATACCATACTTACACATATGGACCAATCAAAATAAAGAAATTAATTTCCCAGCTCCATTCACTACTTCACCTCCCAATCTCTACCTGTTCTTTATTTGTTCCTCTATCTTGATATATGGCATCGCCTTCTCCCCAATCCTTTCCAACTCAGAACCTTTCTTTCTCACATTCCAGATTTAGAAAACCAAAAACAAATGAACAACTATGTCACATAGATTTTTCATTATGACCTCCTTTCTTCCCATCCTCCAGGCTGCTATTCTGTCCACTCAGTTCCTTACTAGATTTTTACAACTCCCTGCCCGTATTCTTGTGCAGCTCATCTGTCTCCACAATGCCAGTATGATCTAAGATGCAGGTCCACCAGTGTCACCAAATGACTAAAAATCTGCATAATGCCCTCTCACAGCCTACAAGGCAAGTGTGAGGATTTAATTACAACATATAAGTCCCTATGGGAATTTTCCTTACCCTCCTGCCTCTTTTATCTTTCCCCTCTTCTCACACCAAGTTCTGGGCACAGTTAACTACACAGAGTTCCCTGAACAGACAATGCCCCTCATGACTCCACACATGGGTACACACTGTTTCCTCCTCTACCTTCTAATAAGCTCCTATTTTCTCTTAAGACCTAGGGTAGGCACCGCCTCACCCATGCAGCCCTCCATGACCCCCCCCCCTACTCTGGGTGCGATTTACTCCTGTACCAACCCCAGAGCCACTCTGCCACAGAAGTTTGTACACTTGGGATGTAACTGCCCACTTGTTTGTCTTTGATCCACACATCTGTAAAGTCCTAGATGGCAAGAGTCCTGTTTATTCTCTGTAGAAAGTAGTTACCTAGTGCCTAGAAGAACTCAGCAGGTATTCAATAAGTAACCCCTTAATGCAAGAATAAGCAAATTCTACAAAAAAACAATAATGACTATGTTTCTGAGATACTGTGTTCCTAGTTAAGTGAATTTCTAATAGCTGGTAATCAAATAAGTTAACTGAATGTGAATTACATAAATTAATTTCCCCCAAGAACTAACTATTGCAACTCATTTAAAAAAATTAAAATTCTAAAAGTTATACTGTGAACTCTTTCAAGTTCAAATATTGACACAATGAACACACACACACACACACACACACACACACACACACACACACAAAGTGGCCTTTAAATTTTAACCCAAAAGTCAGAAAGTTCAAAATAAGTGTGACTTAAAAGGCTCTGGGCTGACCACCTACAGCCTAAAATCACTGGACATTTTCTAATAAGATTGGGGTTTTCCCCATGTTCTGCTCATTAAAAACATTAAAAAAATAGAGTCTTTCGCTGGTTCTATTACTGTAATATGCAAGTTAATGTACCTTGTGTTAGTGTTACAAAGTAGACATAATGTATGAAATTTAGTTGAAAACAATCTAATGCTTAATGATTTTAAACTCAAACAAACATCACAAAGTAGCTTCTGATTTCCCTAGAGAAACATGAAATTGTATTCACTGGAGGTAGTCGAGTTATTTTAATCATTTGTCAGCTTACGAGAGACTCTGTGCCATTATGAAACTAACACGATGTAAAAATTCCCAGTGAGGTTACGCTCATGACAAAACATAATGTGTGCAATTCATTCACACCTGCAGAATGCAAGTGCACTAATACGGAATAACGAATAAAATGAAGATGATGACCGCCTTTCTCCCCCATTTCCAACTAAACAGATGATTACAGCTGGTAAGATACATACACATATTACCATGGGAAGAAACTTCACAGTAATGCCCACATAAAGTGATTAAATACATAGTCACATTAGACATATAATTTAAACACACAACAAATCTGAATATTAATGATAACTGTTCTTGGATTACATATGAAATGAGTAAAAACACGTAAGATAGTGCTCTTCTTAGAAGAAAGTAGATTAATATACACGTTACAAATTTTCAGAAATTCTTTTCTTCTTTTTGTTATTTCTGGTATTTTGGTACATATCAATCAATTTATTGTCAGTTCTCATGCAGAAACACATGATTCATGGATTTGTCTTTAACTTCCTACTCCTATGGTGGCATTTCTAGGACCAAGGTCAGCGGCTGGCACACAACAGACACCCAAAGAAGTAAGGAACCAGTAACACTGTGTTTCACTGCAGCTCTCTCACTGAGATAATCTCTTTCAAATTAAAAACTCCCAAACGCATTTCTAATTTTAGGAGAACAAATAAAGTTACTACACCTTCCGAAATACCAGATCAATCATTTTACCCTTTTCTACCTTTACAATGTAACTCAATGGCATTTATCTGCAAATTAAAAGTAGAAATATTTTTATATTAAAAAAGTAGTTAAGACTTTTCTATCTTCTACAGTATTAAGGAAATATGTAACAGAAAGAAGGACTTTGAAGAATACATAGTAATTTGAAATTGAACATGAAGAATAAAGGTATACTTATATTCTTCGGGCATATCTAAAATACTACCTTAGCACATCAATAAAATTGAACCATGTAGGTATCGAGCTGTTTGGGTTTTTTTTTTTTTTACTTGTACACTATTCAAAGAAAATGTTATAATTAAGTCAAAACTGTTACAATCAATATCCATGTGACCAATAGTACGGTAACTAAAATAAATACATACACACTTGTATGCCTGCTAAAAAATTCTTTCCCATACTGTCCCAGCATTCACCACTTCTAAAAACATGCCGAGGCAGCACACTGCATTCCCCTAGGTTTCACCGTGGGCTTGTAACATCTGGAAAACAGTCTTTAACCTATTTTTAATATACATTTCACAACATATATTCTTTCAATATGTTATTTAAATGTTTATGCACGTAAAGGAAGCAGAAAATAGTTAAAGTACGTTATATCATTTGAATGCGTTTTACTGGGCAAAGGAATGGCATTTAACTGAACAGGGACTACATTTATATTTTCACTGATATACTTAACACATATAAAAGGCTCTCATTCAGTCCAATGGGTACCATTTAAAAACTGTAAGAGTGATACCATGAGTCTGGGGGTTGAATGAAAACTCGGTGATACGTACCATACTGCGTAACAAATGCTATACAGCTGTTCACGATGATGGGAACATCGTTTTGGCTGAGCTGCTGATCCTGCAAAGCATTTCCATCTGTACCTGCTGCTTTCTCAATTGCAGCATGCCAGACTGTGAAATCCAACTTGGTGTGTCCGTGGATGTACAATGTTCTGTGAAGTTTAAAGAGCATTTCACATTATAGTTTTGCTTAAAAAAATTCTTACGTCTAGACAGATGATCCTTTAAATCCATATACAGGTGATCTTGTCTCACCCATGAGAAGAAAAACCCTCCATCTCTCACCCCAAATGCCTCTTTTTCCTGCACAGAGGGGAGGCAGTTCTCTGGATCTGTGATCTCACCTCCTTTCATTCCCCAGCCCCTGTCATTCTCTTTCTGAATAAATGAACTGAAACTGTTCTGGTAGGCATCACCAGTGACTTCTATTGGATATAGGTGGCTGTATTTTTCAAGATTTTAGAACTGTTTATGATTTCATTTCTTTATAAAAACAAAAGAGAGAGGGGAAAAAAACTCCACCCAATTTGGCTTTGTAGCACAATTCTTTCTGGCTGTTCCTCCTATCTTTTTGGTCAGTTTCTTTTCCAAGCCCACCTACTCCTTTTGAGAATGAAGCTGTAACCTCGGTGAACTCACATGAACTCCAAGGCCTCTCCTGGGACAGTGGTTTCAAACCCCGTATGTAAACTGGTTAACTCCCAAGTCCCTATCTCCAGGCTATAATTTTGTCTTACAAACCAGATCTCTAGGTAATCAAAAAAGCAAAAGCTTAAAACAGCCCGGCTGGTGTTGCTCAGTGGTTGAGCGTTGACGTATGAACCAGGAGGTCAGGGTTTGATTCCCAGTCACGGCACATGCTGGTGTTGTGGGCTTGATCCCCAGTAGAGGGCGTGTAGGAGGCAGCCAACCCATGATTCTTTCTCATCATTGATGTTTCTATCTCTCTCTCCCTCTCCCTCTTTGAAATCAATATATATATCTACACTAATAAAAGAGAAACATGGTAATTAGCGTACGACCGCTACCCTTCCAATTGGCTAATCAGCATATCCTTATGCAAATTAACTGTCAGCCAAGATGGCGGCCGGCAGCCAGGCAGCTGGAAGCGAACATGAGGCTTGCTTGCTCCAGGGACTGCAGACTCCAACATTCCCCGCCTAACTTGCAGGCCTCTGAGCTGAAACTCTAAGAAACTATGTACTATGTTGCAAATAAGAAGCTAAACAAAACCCCAGAAACCGGCTGTCAGTCAGCCCCGGACCGCAACATTGTATTGATGTTTTCAGCAGCAAGGCCTCAGAGCTAAAGCTGGCCCAGAATAAAAAAAAAAAAAAAAAGAAAACAAGGAGTGGTTGGGAGCTTTTAGTCACCTGCCAGCCGCCCAAACCCGCTGATAGCCCTGCAGCTGTGTGTGTGACAGGGGAAGGCGCCCCAACCCCATGATCAGCCCTGCTCTGTGCCTGATAGGGGGGAGCTCCCCAATCCCCTGATCGCCCTGCAGCTCTGTGTGTGACAGGGGGCTGGGCCACAACCTCCCTATCCTCCCTGCTCTGTTCCTGACAGGGGAAGGCGCCCCAATCCCCTGATTGCCCTGCAGCTCTGTGTTTGACAGGGTGCAGCGCACCAACCCCCTGATCGGCCCTGCTCTGTGTGTGACAGGGTGCAGGGCCCCAACTCCCCACCCCCCATGGGCCCTGCTCTGTGTGTGACAGGGTAGAGCCATAACCTCTCCATCGGCCCTGCCCTGAGTGTGACAGTGATGGCGCCCCAACTCCCTGATCGGCCCTGCTCTGTGGGTGATAGAGGATGGCACCCCAACCCCCTTCCACGGGCCTTGCTCTGTGTGAGACAGGGTAGAGCCATAACCTCCCCATTGGCCCTGCCCTGAGTGTGACAGGGTGCAGCGCCCCAACCCCTTGATCTGCCCTGCTCTCTGTGTGACAGGGGGCGGTGCCCCAACTCCCCTATCAGCCCTACTCTGTGAGTGATAGGGGGGAGCTCCTCAACGCCCTGATCGGCCCTGCCCTGTGTGTGACGGGGGGAGCTCCCCAACCCCCTGATCGACCCTGCTCTGTGTGTGACAGGGTACGGAACCCCAATCCCCCTGATGGGCCCTGCTCTGTGAGTGACAGGGGGCAGCGCCCCAACCCCCTGATCGGCCCTGCTCTGTGCGTGACAGGGGGTGGCGCCACAACCTCCCCATCGACCCTGCCTTGAATGTGACAAGGGGCGGTGCCCCAACCCCCCAATCGGCCCTACCCTGAGTGTGACTGAGGGTGGCATCGCAACCTCCCGATCCGCCCTGCTCTGTGCATGACGGGGCACTGCCCCAACTCCCCAATCGGCCCTGCTCTGAGCCTGACCAGGGGCTGCACTTAGGGATTGGGCCTGCCCTCTGCCACCCGGGCGCAGGCCTAAGCCAGCAGGTCATTATCTCCCGAGGGGTCCCAGACTACGAGAAGGCACAGGCCGGGCTGGGGGACCCCCTGCCCCCCCCCCCCCCGCCAAGTGCACAAATTTTTGTGCACCGGGCCTCTAGTATATATATATATTTAAAAGCTTAAAACAGCTGAGTAGGGAATCCAATCACTTCTAGAACTCAAATTTTAGCTCTGCACTTACTTCCTTTGTGACCTGGGAGAAGGTATCAATCTTTTTTGGGCCTCAGGTTCATCACTGGCCCAATGAAGGGAATAGCTCCTGCCTCAGCACTAGGTAAATGTGTATTAAGAACTAAGTAATAAACCGTAATACTAAGTGATATTGATTTTTGGACACCTTCACCAGAATGTGCCACAAGCATCTCAATCCATTCTACCTCCTCACGACAAACTGGTGCTACAATTCTCCATTTATCCCACCAGAAACTTAGGATTAACTGTAGATTTAGTCCCCGCCCCCACCTGTCACTGCCACATGAATTCAGTCACAAAACGCTGTTGGTTCTGGTTCCCTGACATACTAGCTTTGCCCCCTTTGTTCCAATGCGGCCGGATTTCAGGTCTTTATTACTCCTGAGCTGATACAACCCTCTGCACGGAACTCCTTTCCTGGTGCTCCACCTCCCTGGCCCTGCTCCTTGGGGCTGCCAGAATGATCTTTCTGAAATGCCAAGCTAATGATGTCATTTCTTGGTCACTGTTCGCCTATAGCTCTGGAATTTTCAAGATGAAAAGGCCTTCGTGGTCTGGCCCATAATTCCCCTTCAACTTTGCCATTGCCCTACACTCAGGGCACACTAAACAATCACACTGCCTTATCTTGATAATAAATACTTCCTGCTCTCTGGCGGGCCACTCCAAATCTTCCCCAAGGTTTATTCCAGGTGATCCTCCTTGACACTCTCCCTGGTAGCCCTCCAACGCTTAGTGGTAACGGGTGCCCCTCTTATCCTGAGGAGCCCCCCTGCCCTGCGTTATACCACCAGCTCCGTGTCTAAGAATATTTCAGCTGCTAGATCCAAACATACGCAGGCGACCAAGGAAAGCATTTCAGTATCTGTCGTCATTAGCAGAGCATCTGACATTTAGTAGGTACATAATCGTTTTAAAGTCCTAACACTAGATATAAAAATGGATTTATTTAAGTATATTCACTGACATATTTAAGTATATTTACACCAAAGTAAAACGATTTAATCTCCATTTCAAACTGTAAGAGGGCTACTTTGGATTCAAACAAAGAGAAAGGCATGAACTGCACAAACTCTGAGTTGCTGTGGTTTGTTGTTGTTGTTCTTTTTCAGGGGGAGGGTAGTCTTTTACTTCCCTGATAACAGATGGGCCCGAATTTAATTTAAACAGAAAATAAAAGGCCTTTTTTCCTTTGGTTTCTTTTCTTGAAATGCTCCCCTAAGAAGACAAAAGTTACTGGCTCTTCACCACGCTTACATCCACATCTTCTGAACTGGCAGTAACTACAGGTACTTTAGTAATGTCCACAGTCTCCATCTCTCACTTTCTTTATATATTGTTTTTATTTTCCCACATCACTATAGCAGACCTGACCTCCAGGTTTTGTAATTTTCTTTTTGAAGAATTCTGCCACTCTAATATTCCTGACATGCTTTTGCCTTTTCGTTTACCTTACATTATCTTTAGCTTGAAAGCATCCTATTGCTCGGTATATTTATCTAAGTGAAATTGTATCACTCAACTAATCTTCCTGAGAAAAATCAAGCCCCTACACTGTTTGACCTAACTAACATAACATCTTGCTAAATTCAGGAGTTTAGGTAAAGAGAAAATTTTACCTTTATTTTTTGTTTTAATCTCATGATTAAGCTCTAAATTTAACATAAAATATTTAAAACTGTTTGCTTTTAAACAAAGTACTACTTCAATGGGTGAGTATTTCAGCAAGCAGTGAAACATCCAAAATGCAACGGCCCTCCTACAGTACCGCCGTAATTCTGCCATCAACAGTGAATGTTCCAAACGTCAAATTCCTTTGTAGTAAGAAGAAATCCTATGATGACAGGTTGAGCTGTCTCCTTGTGAACTAGTGAGGGTTAGAACAAATGACAACTCCTGAGTCAACCTGCCAAGGACTGAATCCTTAAATATATCATCTAGCGCAGCGGATGCTTGACATTTAACTGCATCAGTCCAACAACTTTCCTCTCTGGTGCTTCTCTAAACACTGTGCACACCGAACAAAACATCAAAGGTATTTTCAGCACAAATGCTGGTGGAGTTTGTGACTCCAAGTGTCACAAAACAACCACGCCACCTTTCCGGATAAGAATTCCAAAGAAACATTCATTTATATCTTCAGCATCTGAAAAGTAATTCTGAAGGATTCTAAGTACTGGTATAGAGAGAATCATTCTAATTGGCCACTGCCCAAGCATAAAATGTTAAAGGGCACTTCAAAGTCATACAGAGAAACATCCCTATATCCTATAACAAATCAAATCAGTTCAGCAAGACCCAGAAACCAAGTGCCAGGACGAATAAAAACAATCTTCTCAAAATTGCAATATAATAACCACAAAGTGTAGGCTATCGTATTTGAGCCTAAGAATCAGAAGTGTCTTCACAAATAACAGAATCAATAAATTTGTATAAAAAATTCTAAAAAGCGAATAACAGACTCCACAAACATGACTGAACAGATAATATCCTAAGCATTTAAAAAAAATAAAAGC